GTGCTTTCAGCGACTATAGAAGATGAGCTCACAGCCCAATATTCTGAATTATTCACCTATAAAAAGCAGTCATTTTATTCATCTTTTATAATAGTCTGGCAGAGACTAATGTTAGGATAGTGACTTGTCTTTGGAGCATTTCTATATGAATGTTCAAAAAGAGCAAGAATGAGACAATAATACTAACAATAGTATGGAGGAGGAGGAGGAGGATGATCATAGAGATTTCTATAGCAGTTTAAAGTTCCTAAATTAATTTGCTTGTATTATCTCATTTGATCCTCTCCATAACCTTGTGAGATGGAGGCTATTTTAACCATCTTGCAGATAAAATTTGAGACAGAGTCTATTTTCTCCATTTTATAGATGAAAAAACTGAAAGTTTATGACTCGTCCATGGTCACAAAGCTAACAAGCTCAAATCCAGATTTAAACCCAGATCTGAGAACCAACTAGCCAAAAGGTGGGAAAAATTAAAGTTTTTCTACTTGCCCTCTAGCACACAGTCAGAATATGGTGCCAACTTGGCATCTAATACCTGACTAAATAAAAGAACTTGCAGAGCCAGAGCAGGGTCCAGGCTTGTATTCACTGTCCCCCTCATTGCTTATGGTCATTTCTGTTCTTCCTTTTTCAGGTGCAGATGAAAAGCTTATTTCTAGGCCAGCATTTTCCTCCACAACAGCCACATATGAAAGGCTATCCCTTTGTACTGTGATTGCCATGGCTATATGCTAACCCTACCACTGTATCTCTGACTCTGACCCCTCACCTTCCTTATCTCTGTTCCTGAGGTCATTCCATTCCCCCAAACTGGAATGGCTTTCCTGATTCCTCGCATATCCACATCTCACCCACCCCTTGAAATCCAGCTTAAGTTCCATCCCCTCCATGAAGCCTTCCTAGATTCCTGCCTCCCTTCTCCTGTCCTCTGTGATTCCTCTCTTCCCTGAACCTCTATGATAATTATTGCATCCACTGTTCATGTCTTACTTCTTGGGGATATCTTATCTCAGCTAGAGTAGAAATGTCTTGAGTGTAGGAACTATGTCTTTTACTTCTTTGTAATCCCCATAATACTTATTATAGAACCCTGCACATAGTAGGTCTTCAACAAATGCTTTTAAAGTATGGATTCTAAGAGTTTCAACCCATGTTCCCTCCCCTCATCCCAAATTTACAGAGTACAACTAAGCGAAAATGACATTTTACCTTCACCCCCACCTTAATGATAAGGAAGGGTTGGACCTGTGATTTCATGGGTATAGAGAGCTCCCAGGTAAAGAAACTCCCTTTACCAATGCAAGCCAGCAACTTGTAGACCTAGAAAGTTGCCTAGAGCACTGAAAGCTTAAGTTATTTGCCCAGAGTCATACAGCCGGTATGTGTCAGAGGCTGAACTTGAATCCAGATCTTCCTAGATTTGATGAGTAGTTAGGTAGTTCTGTGGATAAAGTGCTAAACCTGGAGTCAGGAAGATTCCTCTTCCTGAGTTCAAATCTGGCTTCAGACACTTACTAGGTGCGTGACCCTGGGCAAGTCACTTTTACCCTGTTTGCCTCAGTTTCCTCATCTGGAAGAGCTGGAGAAGGAAATGGCAAACCACTCCAGTATCTTTGCCAAGAAAACTCCAAATAAGGTCATGGAGAGTTGGATACAACTGAACAACTCTATCCATTAAAAAAGGATGGTGTTGGGGCAGCTAGGTGGCACAGTGGATAGAGCACAGAGCCCTGAAGTCAGGAGGACCTGAGTTCAAATCTGACCTCAGACCAAACACTTGACGCTTACTAGCTGTGTGACCCTGGGCAAGTCACTTGACTCCAATTGTCTAAAAAAAAATGATGGTGATTCTGACATCTGACCAAGTACTATCTCTGAGCAGGGTCCTGAATTAGGCACATTGAGTGTGGGAGAGGGGGAAGAGATACACAATAAATAGAAGATGGATCTAGGAATCTTGGGAAGTGAGACTTCATGCCTACAAGAATTTTAACTGTAGGTGATATGTATATGGGGTCTTTCTCTAGGGAGGAAAGTAAGGGGTCAAAGAGTCAGAGATATAGTGGTATGTTGCCAATTAACTATTTTCTATGACAATGGATGATTCAAAGGATACTGATCCAGGAGCAAAAATTCTCCCTGCCTGCACCCAGAAACTGCTGCTTCATCTAGGAAAGTTATTGATGATGAAGATAAAGGTGATGATAACATCTTACACTTAGGTGATGTTTTAAGGTTTGCAAAGCACTCTACACATGTACTTTTAGCCTCACAACAATCCTGGGAGGTAGGTGCTATTATTATCTCCATTTTGTTATTCATCCTTCCTTCTCAAAGAGGACCAATGACACCAGGAGGGCGATGTCTTAACTTGCAAGTGATTTGGATTTAAGTGAGGCAGAGCTGTGCAAAGTCATCAGCCTCACTCCTCCAATCATCAAAGTCCAGTGGTAAGACATAAGTCAAGATGACTGGCAATGGTCCAGCACCCCCATTTTACAGATGAGGAAAATGAAGCAGCAGGGGTTGAGTGATTTGTCCAAGGTTACACAACTGTTTGAAGTCAGATTTGTATGAGGGACATCTTGACTGCAGGTCTACCACGTGCCACTATTGTGCCACCATCTGACTTCCTAGGTGCTGGGTAGTAATGGGTTGGGGCAGGAAGAGTAAAAGTTGGTGCTTCAGGATTCACAAGATGCATCCAGAAGCATTCCCCAGCCTTCCTTAGCTCTTCTTGCCTCCCTTGGAAAATCCCCTAGGCAGCTCTGGTCCCTTCTGTTGTTGTTTGTCCTTCATTTTAGGAGAGGACTATGATATCAGGAAGCTGATGCACTGACTTGCAAGTGAATTGGATTTAAGTGAAAGAGGGCTGTGCAAAGTTACTAGCCTCACTTTCTCCTCTCAAGCCACCTGAGTCCAGTGGCCAGATATAGATCAGGATGACTGGAGATGGCCCCCTGGTCCCTTCTAGCTTACATTCAGAGGAAGACACTAGTAGTAGAGGTTTGGGGAGTTGGAAGGGTCCAAGAGGACATTTAGGCTAACCTCCTACACAATGCAAGAATTCTCCTACAGCACCCCAAAGTCATTTAGCTTCTGCTGGAATACCTTTTGTGATAGAGAACTCACTCCTGAATCGAGGCTATCAGTTACAATTTCCTATACCTCTAAATGTTAGGAAGTTCTATCTCACAATAAATTGAAATCTCCCTGGAGTTCACACGCACAAGTCCTTCCCTGAAGTCACATGGAACAAGTTTACTTCCTTTTCATATGACTGTCCTTTAAATGACCGAAGACATCTCTCCTGTCCCATCTTCTCTTTTCCTGAGTGCACACTATCCTTTTGTTAGCTTTAATTCATCCCATTATAGTACTGGCTCATACTGACCTTGCAGCCAACTAAAACACTTTTCCACATGACCTGCTGTAAAGCCATTTCTTCCTAACCAATATTCATGCAACTAATTTTTTTTTAACCCTATATTCAAGACCACATTCATCCTGGTTAAATTCCATCCTGTTGCTTTAGATCCATACTTGCCTCGATCACTTTGAATTCTTGATTCTGGAATCCATCCTGTTAGTTATACCATCCTCTTTGTGTCATCTGTAGATTTAATAAGGGTAAGTCACTGATAAAAATTTTTGAAAAGGGCTCTATGTAGAACCCTGTGGCAGCATGCCTAGACATCTTTGAGTTTCTATTGATCCATTAACCTGATCTCTTTGGCTATAGTTGTTCAACCAGCTACAAATTCACTTAATTGTGCTAGGATCCAGCTCATATCTCTCCATCTAGGACATAAGGATGTATTGAGAGAGTACTGTGAAATAGGGGAGGAAAGTATTGATTTGGAGACTGAGAACCTGGGTTTTGATGCAAGGTCCCTTATTTTCTACTTGTGTGATCTTGGACAATTCATTTAATTTCTTTGACCTCAGTTTCCTCATCTGTAAAATGAGGGGATTGTACTAGATAATCTCTAAGGTCCCTTTTAGCTCTAAATCTATGATACTGTGATCCCATGACTGCCACACATCTTTCAGAAATCCAGATACACTGTCTTTGGCATTTCCATGATTTAATCTCTGTCTGCCTCTATTTGCTCCACTATAAAATGGGGATAATAATAGCACCCACCTCCCAGGTTGTTGTGAAGAGCAAATGATACTAATGTTTATTAGTAAAACCTTAGCAGAGTGCCTAGCCCTTTCTAAGTCTAGACTCAAGGCAGGTTGCTGCTCAGCTCAGTAAGTCAAGCAGGAAGCTCCTCTGTCCAGGTGACTAACAAATTCATAATCACAAAATATTAGATGGAGTTGAAAAGGATTTAAGAGGTCATCCAGTCCAATTCCCTTATTCTACAGGTGAAACGGAGGGCAGAGCAAGAAATTACTAGCCCTGAGTCACACACCTAGTAAGTGGATTTCTGAGTAAGCCAGGATTTCTGAGGCTTTTGACTCCAAGTTCAGGGATCTCTCCCTACGCCAAAGTAGCAAGACAGCTGGCCTGGGGTAAGGGCAAGTCATCTCTTAATATCCTCTCCAACCTCTCCCGCCCCTATTTCCAAATTCCGAATCCTTTTTGTTTTTTTTAATCCCCAGTCCGCAGGGCTCAAAGATGGTCAGAAGCTGACTACAGTCCTCACATTTCCAGCGAGGGGAGTGGGAAGTGGGGGTAAAGTTGTTGGCAGGGAAGTGTTTCAAGCTGAAAGCCCCAGGCTAATGTCCCAGCCTTCTCACCCACCCCACTCCCCCCATCGCTGCCCCAACTGACCCCCACACAGGCCTATCCACCCCTTCACCCCTCCCAACTCCTCCTCGGGGTAACAGACACCGCCACCCCCCCCACCCCCCGCCCAGGCTCGTCGGGCGGCGCCAGGTGAGACTCTCTCCACCTGGGGAGAGGGGAGCTAGGCAGGGGCTGGGCGCGGGATGCGCGCGGCCTCCCCTCTCGGGGAAGGAGGGCGGGGCTGCGCGCGGCGGGACCAATGGGGAGGGGGGCTAGCTGTCGGGAAGAAGCGGCTGAGTCCGCACCCCTCTGCTCCCGCACCCCCACCCTCCCCGCCTTAAAGCCCCGCGGGGAGCAGGTGGCGGCCGGGGTAGCCGAGCGGAGGAGCCGCCGCCGCAGCCGCAGCAGCAGCCGGGCGCCCACGGAGGAGATGAGAGCAGGAGCGGCGCCGCCGGCACCATGCGCCGCCCGCCTCCGCTGCCCCTGGCCGCACTCTGCCTCTTGGCGCTGCCAGCAGCCGTCGTCGCCTACTTCGGGTCAGTCCCTTTCCCCCCTTCATCTTCCCTACCCACCCTCAGTTTCCTCTAGCTTCTTCCTTTTCTCACCCCTTTCCAACGCCAACAGCAACTTTCTTTGACCAGTTGGCTCTGTTCCTTTCCTCCGTCTCAGAACCCATCCCTGCCTCCCTCTCTGCTCCATCCCTGTCATGGACTGCCAACCATGTCTTGCCCTGTGTCAGACCCGGATTCCTTTCTCTCCCCTGTAGCCTCTGTCCCAGACCCTCATATGTGTCTCCCCCCGTACCCTACTTTCTTTCATCTTCTTTCATCTCACTTGATCTTCATCCTGATCTCTCCTGTGTGTATCTCTGACCCCATCGATCTTCCCTTCTGTCCTCTCTTTGACTCCGATCCTCGTCTCTTCTCGGTGATCCCCTTCCCTATCTCTTCCCTAGGCCCTCATCTCTAACCCTATTCCTGTATTTCTCCGGCCCCTCCCCTCTCCATGCCTGAATGTTCTCCCCTCGGGTTCCTCTCGCTGATCCATGCTTGTATCTCCATCCCGCTTCTGCTCTTGCCTCTTCCCTCTGCTAGGAGGACCCCCGTGTTTGTCTCTGTCCTTACGGGGGTGTTCTGCTTTAGGATTACTGTCTGCTTAAGTAGGACAGGTTGGAGCGATGGGGACAGCAAGAGTCAAAAAAAAGTTCCGGGGAACTGGGGATGGAAACAGAATTGCAAGCAAGAGAATAACTAATAAGGGGGCGGTGAGAATGGGAGAAGGACCGAATGAAGGCTAATAGTGAGGTAGGGAAAATCTGGAGAGTATTTTGGGGTTTCTTATTTGTCTGAGAAGTCACTTGGAGTCTAGGACCCTTGGAGAACTAGATTACTTTTCAAAAGCATTTGTTATTCAGCCATTTCAGACTCTTCTTGACCCCATGTGGGGTTTTCTTGGCAAAGATACTGGTTGGGTAGGAGGCACTTTCGTAAGGAGAGAGAGAGACAGAGACAGAGAGACACGGACAGAGAGACAGACAGACTGAGAGACACAGACACAGAGAGAATTAGAGCCTCACAAGGGAGGATGAAGAGATTAGACTGGAATACAGGAGGAGTTTAGGTGGTGACTTTTCTCCTACTTCATGTCCCTTCATCTTTTTTCCCCTTGGGTTAGCAAAAGATTCCTTGTTGCTTGCAAGGAGTTTCAGAGGCAGGAACCTTCCCTCCCTTTGGAACTCTGTGACTGGCTGCCCCAGGTTTATATCTTCACCTTTCCCCTTGCTCTCCCATCCCCCATCCTAATACCTGGTAGACACACAGAGACCTCAGAATGCAGGGGGCTGGAAATGAGAGAAGGTAATGAATTTGAGGAAGAATCTGAATTAGAGAGGTATCACTGCTTCTGGCACCTGTAATGAATTAGGCCCAAAATCACTTGAGCAAATCATCCTGATAATAGAGAGTTTGTTGATTTAACAGGGGAGGTTTGCTAGGCTGGCTACATTAGGGATAAAGGAGTGAACTCCTGGATGCTTTCAAAGAAGGAAACTTGCCAGTGGGGTGATCAAGATAGAGGCTGACAGTCCAGCCCTCAGGGTTGGAGGTGAAGGGATGAGAGGCTTGTGACTGGGATCTGAAGGGGCCTTAGGCAAAAGAGGGTATTTTCTTTTCTTTTTTAAAAAGGGCAATTTATTTTTCAGAGTTATTGAACTATTACCCTGATATCACATGGCTTGTTATCAAATAATTTCAGATAGGTAATGAGGGCAAATCTGGTGATCTCTAAGATTTCTGCAGCTTAAAACATGATTCTGTGGTTCTTGGGGAAGGATACCACCCCATATGGTAATTACATGTAGCAGATGAGAAATCCAGTATGGTTCACCTGTATTATACCACAATATAGGAAACGGGGTGGGGAGGATTGAAGGGTGTGCCACCCCATCCTTTTTCTTGGTACTTTATTGTGAAAAGAGCACTGGCCTAAAGAGGAAGAGACCAATCAGTACCAATCAATAATTAGCTGGGTGACCTTAGAAAAGTAATGTCCCTTCCCTAAGCCTCAGAGGAAATCACCTGTAAAATGAGAGGGTTGGACCAAAATGATCTTTAGGTCCTTTTGGTTCTGATATTCTGTTTTTTCATTAGATCTGATGGACCTTTGCAGATAAGGCATCATAAGCATTATGACTTGTATAGAGTAGACAATAAATACACATTGATTTGACTGTCAGAGTAGGGAGGGACTTTAGAGACCATCTCAGTCTACCCCCATTTTACAGAGGGGGAAAACTGAAGCCCAAAGAGGGGAAATTAGAGTTCGGCAAGGAGAAAGGTTCATGGATTTAAAGGGAAGGGATCTGAGAGATAATCTAGTTCGATGCCCTCACTTTAAAGGTGAGGAAGCTGATTTGGAGACATCAGGTGGCTTGCCGTAGGTTGGAAGTGGCAAAGTAAAGTCTTCTGCCTTCTTATGGAGGTATCAGGTGGGAAGTAACCTGCAAGATTTTGTTGCTAGAACCAAACTTAGGTGGAAACTTCCAGCTGTGACAGGGGCGGAGAAGGTGATGGTTAAGGGGAAGGGAATAACCATTTATTAAGCACCTACGATACACCAGATGTACCAAATGTCATACTAAGTGCTTTACACATGTTATCCCATTGGATCCTCACAACAGCCTTGGGAGGTATGGGGGTGGCGGTGGGAGGAGGACCCTTGGGGGGGACAGGATGGGCTCCTGATCCTAAGGGAATCTTGTTCACATTTGGACTGCCCCAAATCAGTCATTAGGTCCTCTGAACCTCCACGCAAAAGGTCCTCTAAGGATAATACTTCATTTCTCCTACATTAGCTTCCTTTAAACCACCCCTACTCTGGAGGTACAGGCAGGTAGGTGATACAATGGACAGAGCACTGTGCTTGGAATAAGGAAGACTCATCTTCCTGAGTTCAAATTTGGCCTCAGACACTTCCTAGCTGTGTGACCCTGAGTAAGTCACTTAACCCTGTTTGCCTCAGTTTCCTCATCTGTCAAATGAGCTGCAGAAGGAAATGGCAAATCACTCTAGTATCTCTGCCAAGAAAACTCCAAATGGGGTCACAGAGAGTTGGACACAATCGAAACAACCAAACAACAAAATTCTGGAGCTATTTGTTTTCAGTGAAGACTAATTATTCCAAGCACAATGAATTTCTTTAGGGAACTCACTCCCCCAGAAGTACCCAGGGATTGTCCTCTTTGAAAATCCCAACAACAAATAGACATTTCTGGGTTGCAGAGCAGGTGTCAGGGAGAGCAAGAATGGTTTCTACACTCTGGTGACAAATGCCATTCTTCAGTCATTTGGTAGTTTGTGTAACACTTAGGGGCTTTTGGGGGTTGGGGTGGTGATGTTTGAGGAAGTTGTCCCTGGGCCACAGTATTGGGGGGGGCATTTAAAAAGGTTTATTTGGATAGTTAAGGGTGTTTGTTCAAATTGGAATTAGAGGCATCCCAAAGTGCAAAGTGGAAGGTAGTGAATTCACTGTCCCTGAAAGTCTCCAAGCACAAGTTAGATGACTTCTTGTCAGATGTCAGAGAGAGGATTGCTACCGAGATACAAGTTGACCTATCTCTTCTAAGGTCCCTTCCCACTCTTAGTCTCATAGGCTCATTGCCCTAGGGCTCAAAGGGATCTCAAAGTTTCTGTATCTAGTCCCATTCCTCAAGTAAGGAAACTGAGGCCCAGGAAGCTTAAATGACTTACCCAAGGTCAGTAACAATAATAATAATAATAATAATAATAATAATAATAATAATAATGATAACATTTATATAGTACTTGCTATGTACCAGGCACTGTCAACAACCCGGGCTGGGGGCTAGAGCTCGGAGTAGGAGCTATTATTATATCCATTTTATAGATGAGGAAACAGAAGTTAAGTGACTTGCCCAGGATCACACAACTAGAAGTAGCCTGCATAGAGGTAGTAAAGTTCTCCAACTTCAGAACCAGTCCTCTTTCCATTATATCTCTGTGAGTCTATAAATTCTGGTGTAATATTTACTGATGCATGGTTGGATTTAGGAAGCCTAAGTGGAGCGAAGGGACCTATCTTTACTATTTTTCAAAATGAAGTGGATGAATGTTAGAATAGAGCTTTGCTCAGAGTTGAGAAAGATGGCAAATTAATCAAATCATACCTGTTAACAGAAGTTTGTTCCTTGGATCATATGACCCTAATAGGATTCTAGATTTAAAGCTGTAAGGGGAAATACACTAGCAAGTGGCAGGAGATGGGGGAGCCTTCAGATAGAAGAAAATGGAGCTTAAGCAGAATTTTGAAGGAAATGAGGAATTCTAAGATGCAGAAATGAAGAGAGAGAGCATTCCAGATATGGAGGATGGCCAAGACAAAGGCTTAAAGATGAGAGGTGGATTGTCACATCAGGAAGAGCAAGAAAACCATTTTGGATGGCAAATTGAATTTAAGAAGGAGATTAATGTATTATAAGCAAAGTTGGAGCAAAGTTGGAGCCAGATCATGAAGGTCTTTCACAGCTCATATTTATTTTCAATATGTTGATAAGTTATACTGATTTTTTCTTTTTTTGTCTTATGGCTCTCTGGGAGGAAGGTGGGGAAAGATTCTGAGGGAAACTATGGTGATGTAGAAAAAAGACATCAATAATTTTTTTTAAATGGGGAAAAAGGGCAACTAGGTGGCACAGTACATAAAGCACCAGCCTTAGAATCAGGAGGACCTGAGTTCAAATCTGCATCAGACTCTTTGACATTTACTAGCTGTGTGACCCTAGGCAAGTTACTTAACCTCAACTGCCTCCAAAACAATAGGAAAAAATCTATATTTGATCCTAAAGGCAATAAATAGGGAGCCATTTGAGTTTATTGAATAGGGGAGTGGTATGGTACTACCACATCCTGTCCTTTAGAAAAATCACTTTGGCAGCTGTGTGAAAGTTGGATTAGAGATAGGGAAAGACTTGAAGCAGTAGTCCAAGTAAGAGGTAATGAGGGCCTGCAATGGAGTGGTG